TAGTGTGATACTGGTTCATTTTATTACTTTATTGCTGTGCTGTATGTGTATAGGCCAATGTAGTTGGATCTGTATGTGCGTTATAATTAATCGAAATTAATCGATTAAAACAAATTTTGATTAATTGAACACGGAAATTTTAATCATTACCAGCCCTATTAGGAAATGCATATGCAATACTTGTATAGTAATACCTTTGGTAACTCTTAAGCCTGTGTAAACCCTAAACTAAATCTATTGTTAGTATGTCTGCCATCATGTCTTTCTTTATACAGTTGTCTTAAGAAAATCATTTTTAACTTGTTGCAAAGTTTTTTAACTGGCAGTCCCGTAAGTAACAGCAATTTCTGTTCACACCGAAAGCGTGTGCGTTCCAAAGGGGTAGCTGCTGGAACGCACCGCGATCGCTTAGAAACTTATCCCCGCGTTTTGGGGCGTGGCAGTGCATTGAACTCAATGGCACTGCTTCCACGCCATCCCCCCACCCGCAGTACGATTGAACGCGTGGCAAAACTTTTCCAGCGTTGTGCTCCACTGCAAACGCAAAAATAGAGCAAGCCCTGTCTTGCCACACGTTCGATCACACTACGGGCGGGGGGCGTTTAAGCGGGGCCATTGAATTCAATGCACCGCCACGCCACCTCCCACACCAAAACGCGGGGAGGAGATTCTTAGCGATCACAGTGTGTTCCAGCAGCTACCGCTCTGGTACGCACACGCTTTCGGTGTGAAAAAGGCCTCAAGCTATGTGGCCAGCTTTAGATTTGCTATTAGGTCTATCAGCTCATTGGGCAATTAAAGTATCATGTGCAGCAGGCTGACAATGCTGCTGCTAATTGTGAGGCTGTGGCTTAGCAATGCCAGCCTGCAAAACTAATATTTTTTTAAAGTTTTAAATTGATTGAACAGCTTTGTACAAGGGAAACTCCAAGAAAAGTTTGCTCTCACAATTAATGCTTAATAAGAATGAATGCTTAAAAATGTCCCATTGTTGGTGTTCTTATGATTTAGGACTGCATTTTATAGACAAGCCTGGATGTAGCTGTGCAGCTTCCAAAATATATTTTATTACTTTTTTTTGACATGCTGACATCTGGGCATGTGCTGAGAAATCTGTTTGCTGATAAGACAGATATATGATGTTCAGCTCACAGTTGGGGAAGATAGAGGTTGCTGGCATTTTGCATTCCATGAATACCAGAGCAGGAAGTTTGCAGGATGCGACAGTTTTAACAGGTTGGGAACATTCTCTGAATGTTGTTAGAACATATTTTTTCATGCAAAAACCTAAAAGTAAGGGGGAGGGTCTAACCCCTATGTAAGCCCTGATATACACTAAAAGCAAGCTTAAAAAATGACTATGTACTCAGGGTCTTGGCCCAGGAACATGGAAGAGCATAAGAAAGGTAAGTATTAGCAACAGAGGAGGGGGACCATAAAGAAAACCTGTTACTTCTTGACAGGTTCACTTTTAATACTGAGCTATTCTTTTTTGTCCTATGATGAATAGCACCGCAATAGTATAACACAGTATTTTGGAGATTATGGCACAGCTTCTTATATCTGTTACGTTTACTCTTGCTTTATGGGATCTATCGGCACTGAATGTATTGTTGGGTGTAGAAGAATTATATCAACTTAATGGAGCAGTTTGCTCTTTATGATGCTTTCTTGTCACGGTGTATAAAGTGGTTAGTATACTGTTTATTATAAAGATCTAAGACCCTAAACAATAGGCATTAAATCTAGCTGTGTGGGGGAAACACATTTTAGAACTTTTCCTAATTTAAGAGCTTATTTTGTGGCTCTGTTTGCCAATATATCAACACGCTTGGAAAAAAAAAAGTACCAGTTTGTAGATGGTTGAGTGACTTTGCAAAACTGGTTAGGTAAAGAGGATCTGGATTTAAATGTAAGATATGAATTACACTTTTATAGCTGCTCCATTGTGCCAAAAAACAATCAACAGTTTTTAATTAAACTGTAAACAAACATAAGGCTATGTGAGCGTAACGGATTTTCTTTCCACAATAGGTTTCAGTGTATGCACACCATGTGATATCTTATTATTGTAGCCTATAATTTTATAAGATGTTCCTATTCAGTATGCGTTTTAGGTGTATTTCACTCAGGCTGTGGTCCTCTGACATCCATAATTACCCTTATTATCAACCAAAAGTCTCATCAGTTAAAGGCTCTAGTCTTCTTACAGTGTATTAAGTACTCACATAAGTGACAGAACCCATGATAAATTGAAAAAAGCTTCCTGTTCACTTATCTAAACACAGAACCAAAAATGTAATGTATTGCAGCGTATCAGCTTTAGATGTGGTGGCTACATTAAGTTAACTTATTCAGGCATTTTTCCTTTATTTTCACCATAATCCTGTGAATTACACAAAACCTGTACCCCATAGTTCTCCTTTAAATCATTCCACGAAATAATGTTTTACACAGAGGGAGTCCAACTTATCTTAAATTTTAGGCAACCATTTGTCAAATTTTTGGGGTCTCTTTTTTGCTTTTTACCCTGAGATTAACACTTAGACACATAGACTTAGATGCACTAATCAGACTCTAGAACATCTTTTACATTACATATAACACCACGTGGGTTGACTATCTTTCTTTTGCAGAATTTACTTTCTACAGTAAACTCCCAGTTATCCGGCACCCATGGAGATCGCTAGGTGCTGGATAACTGTCGTTTCTGGTTGCTTGTGAGTTAATTGTAACTCTGAAGCAACCACCCAAGACCAATCCCCCCACCTGTGGCGCAAGAGGACAAGAGAGTGGATATGGAGGGAAGCAGATTTCGGCACCCAGCAGAGAGAATCACTGACTGGCAGGGACAGTGCAGACCAGCAGTCTCTGCCAGATTTTTATTGAAAGCCTGCTATCCGTGGCTTCTTAGTTGCTGATTATATCTATTCAATTAATCAGAAGAGTCTAGGGTACCCTTTTGCTATACGTTCCTGGTCTTTGAAGCCAGCATAAGGCTTACTGACCTGGCCAGCTGGTACGTTAGTGGCAGGGACAGGATTAATAGCAAAAGTAATAAAATAGGTGGAATTCCAGGCAAATATCTAAAAAAATACATTCTTGTAATATACAGTACACCATGTGTATTTAGTAAGGTAATTCTGCTACTTATTGATTTAGTATTACTGATTCCCAGCTTAGCTTTACTGCTTCCTAGGTGTCACAATACCGTGCACGGGTGTCCCCCACACCCTGTGCAGGTATCTATAAAGGAGAACTAAATATGTGACCACACCAAATAATGCTTATGAACTGTAGTTTATTAGCTACTCAAAAACACCCCCACCATAAGCTAGGGCAAAGGTTTCCTTACAGACCCCCTGGTTAATAAGGGTCTGAACTGCTTCAATACAGTTTAGCAAGGTATCATGAGAACAATCAGAATAATGCTCAAAAAATCCAGCTTGATCATCCTCAAGAAGCCACAGTACCACCTGGAGGTGCTCCTGTCCCTGACACTAGGTAACCCCCTTTCTTACCCCTTTGTTGCAAATGTATGTAAATTACACAATTTGGATGAACAGAAATACAAATTATTTGACAGATAAAAGAGTTCACATACAGAATGTTGTAGGGGTTGAGGCTAGGAAGCTTGATGAACCTATTACATGCTCTCTGATGAGCATTTACTTGCAGGGGGCTATTATTAAGCTGACACTTAAAGGCTAACAATATTGATGTTTAAACAAGTACAGTTGTAGTGATATGTACAGTTTTATTGTTCAATTTTCAATTAGACATACTAATATAACTGAGGAACCTAAAAGTATTGCTGTTTGCCTGGAGTTTCACTTTAGTTCCAACTGGCAGTAAAGTATATACAAAACAAAGGGGTGTACACCTCAAAGATTTACTGGTAAAATTCACCCATTAAAAAAAAAAAATCCAAGTAGGATTTAATGGGCTTTGCCCTACAATTTCTGTCAGGATTTGTCCTATGTATTATATAACATTTGCTGGGTAATTCTTGTTAGTTCAAATCTTGATAGTACAGTAGCGGCTATTTTTCACCTTTGGACAAATCTTTATGGCAATGTTAGAGTAAAATCTGGTTCATTAACAGTTATGTCCTTTTGTTCAACTGCTGACATACTTTACATGGTGCTGAAACTGTGTATAAATAGTTTTTTCTTTTTTTAAAGTGCAAAGATGTGTACAGTGAATTCTGGGGATGGAGTTTCCTATGATGCCACTGCCTGGGGATGGAGTTTCCTATGATGCCAGTTTACTGGGGATGGGCAACCACCTATTTGCCACCTAGGGGTGGGGCAGGTAAGTGAAACATGATCCCCTTCCTTGCACCCCCTCCTGGGCACAAGGATTGTCAAGGAGCCTAGTACCAGTCAGCATCAGAGTATTTTGTGGGGACCCTGTTTTTTGGGGGGAAACCCCCCTCAAAGCGCCTCCTGTGCTGAAGAGCATGTGGGCTGATGTCAGTATTGCAGGGGGATGCACGCTCCCTGATTCCCTGCTATGGGGATGCCAGTATAAATGTTGGTCAGAGTATAAATGTGGTATATGGCTAGCTTTAGGGCAAAACTGCAGTTAGATAGGGTTTGATTTCCCCACCTTCATGTCCAGGAGACTGCCAGTGAAATCTCATCACCAAGCTTTGCTTGGCATTTCAGCTAAACCTCTAGGATCACTGGATGAAATGAGCACTTCATATATGTCTAAGGAAAATGCACTGGCTTGATCAGAAAACGAAAGTGAAATATAACTCAAATGAATTATTCCAAGGAATATTTGGATAGCACTCTACACTTCATAACAGTGAGGCCCATTGCTGTCCAAAAAATGAAAGGGATTATTTTCCTACTGGGAACTCTGATTGATGTAGTGACCTGGAATGGAATTTAACCTTGCCCAGTTCCACCAAAATGGGAAAATATGGTTTGGGTGCAGTACCGCTTTACTGTTGCAAAGCAATAATTTCTGCAAATGAAATGCCTTCTTACCTCTATAGCCACAGATATGTCAGGAGAACACAGTTCCCAATGACGTAGTCCAGCCAGCACCTTCAGGAAGGTGTTGGGGCGTATTCTGACAAACTGCTTTTCTTCTAACTTCTCAAGCTTTTCTAAAATCTTTTTGATCTTCTGGTTATTCTTTATGTCTTCTGGAATCCTAGACTTTAAAACTACAAACCTGCAGTGGTAGACAAATACAAACGATTATAATCCAGATATGGAAAAATTCCAGACATGTGAGAGTAAACATTCCAATTAGGGATGCACTGATACTTTTCAGATACCAGTGCCAATACTTGGCATTTTCATGAGAACTACCAGGGTTGCAGCTGGGATCTGGCTCTGGCGCTCCACCACTGTCCTGAAATCAATAGTCTGTATTGTTTTAGAAAAACTGTCACATGACAATAAACAAAAATGTATCAGTACCTGCACTTGTAATTACTTGGGCAAGTATCAGTACTTGCATTTGCAAAAATGGTATCGGTGAATCCCTTATATATATTTATATAAACAAAATCATACAATAAAACAGAGATGTACAAATCCCATGAGCTCCGTGTGCTCCTTAATGACAGCTGCCTCCTAACTTTTGAATTTTTCTATAGTCTAGTCTTGGAGCTGGAAAAGTATCGGTACTTGTACTTGTACTGAGTATGGTACTTGGTATCAGTGCATCCCTAATTCCAATCTAGGAAAAATCTAATATCTGTATTAGGTTGTACTTCATATATATAATAAAATAACTAATGTTACACACCAGTTTTTCATGTCCGTGTAATCTTTCTTTTCTTTAACTTGACAGTAAGCTTTTCTCATTTTTTCCATATCTTGGCGAAAATTGCTGATTGCATCCAGAGATCGATATTTTTGGGTGTTGAATTCTTGACGTCTCCTAACAGAAAATGTATTGCATCATGAAAAAAGAGGTCATGTCAAAACCTAAAAGCACCCATCTCATTGTGGTAGAGCAGGTGATGAGGTACAACATTTCTGGCAGATTTTGAACTAAAAATGTATCTATTTATAAACTAGTAAGGCTAAATATGTTTTTAAGTTCAATTCATGTCGATTATTATTATTATTATTCAGGATTTATATAGCGCCAACAGTTTGCCTACTTTTTAGTTTGTCTACCTGCACAAAACATGCACAGGGGCAGACAGAACATTTGACAATCAATATGCCAAAGAGAGGCTTCAGTATTCAGACAGCATAAAGTATAAACATTTTAGGATTGGTGTTTTAAGCCTTTGCAAAGATATGCTGTATTCTGCGAAACTCCTGTATAAAAAAAGTGTTCATTTGTGTCTCGTGTGGCATGTGCATGAATTCTTAGCAAAGGGAAGCTTTTGAATTTGTGGATATTAATACAAGGCCTTCTATTTTTGGCCTCTGTCTGAAAACACAAACCGCATGTGGCCACTGTCTGAATGGTCAGGAAGCCAGGCAGCCTTGGCAAGTAAAGCCGGTGTTCTTTTGCTAGAACACTGGCTTCACAGGCAATCAGGAAGCTGGCCGGTGGGTCATGATCCGCCGCCCGACTCCCTTATAATCAGGGCACATTGCACCAGTACTTGGTACAGGTGAATACCGAGAAAAAATATCGGTAATCGAACTCAATACCAAAAAAATTGTATCAGTGCATCCCTACTTGTTTATATATACCATTTCAGTTCATGATTGTTTCATCAGTAACAATGCATCAAATATAAACTTTGCTATTTCATTTGCATTAGATTTCCTGTATTTGTACTTGCCTTTCCATGTCCTCCACCTTATCATGTAGGTACATGTCTGCTTCATCAGCAATCTCAAAGAACAGCTCCCTCATCTCTGAGGGCATGTTACTTTTTTTCTTAATGAAGAGGCTCGTGGCAGACATCACTGAAGCAGGGGAACTATAAAGACAAAAATAGGATTTTTGTACACACCATAACATCTTCTTTTTTATTGAGGCACACATTTTGATGAAAACTAAGCAACGTAGGGTTATATTGCCACCTACAGGAGAAATGGACACTAGGCACATAGAAACGGAAGGCCTGCCCCTCACACTTTGATGCTCATTTGTCGCAAGCAGTCCAAAGAGAGGGATAGCTGTGTCCCTCAATGGACTCTTGGATTTTATGGTAAGTACAAAAATGCTAAAAAAGTAAGTAAAAAAACTGCTTGGATTAAGGGTCTGGCATGGAATTTTAGGGGGACTCCACTTTTTTTGTGTTTTTGGGTGTTGTGGACCCCCTTAAAATCCCTACCAGACCTAAAGGGTCTTTTATGAATTTGTAGGGGAACCCCACTAACATTCCTACTAGACCTACAGGATCTGGTATGATTTTGGAGGGGAACCCCGTACTGTTTTTTTGTTTTGTTTATATTGACAGTTTTCATTCTGCATCACTACCTCTGAGGTAGCTAAGCAGAATGACCGAGCTGAATGCTGTTTGGTCCCTTGGAGAATAGGGGTGAACAGCAGGGAAGGAAGTGGCAGATGTTCACCCTCAGCTGATCCAGATGTTCTATTGGCTGAGGCGAACTGGCTCCTCCCTTTTAGGTTTTTCCAAACGTGCTGAGGCTGTTCACTTTGACTTGGTTATTCATTCGGCTGCCTTCGGCACCTTAGTGAATAACCCCCTAAGTGTAACTGAGCAAGTGTGAGGTGGGAGCGGTTATAGCCTTGAAGGGGCAAGCATTCAGTTTTTATGTGACCAGTGTCCATTTTTTTTGTAAGTGGCAACATAACCCTTGGTTGTTTAAATGACATTAAGCTGGCTCTGTCCCTCAATGGACGATAGAGAAGCTATCTATCTATCTTCTCTTGGTCAACAGTAGTAGTGGTCAGCTTACTGGACACAGAAACATGATGTAATCTTGTACATAATGGGGCAGGGGTACAATCTAAATTTTCAGAGTAAGTGCACAAGTACTCTAGCTCTAGCCTTCATAAACCAACAATAGCCATAGATTTTCTTTAGCTGGCTTCCATCACATTTCTGCCATTTGTACAGTAGACATTAGAGGTCTAGGTAGCAAGCAGCAGCAGAAGAGTCATGTGATGCCCACCCTGCAGTGGTGAGAGTGACAGCAGCTCAGCATCATAGCTTATTTACTTAGACCTTCCCCTCTTCGTTAGGTTTCCCACAAATAGCAAGAAACTACAGTTTTTAGAAGGTACCCAATTCTCTTTTTACATAGCAACTATGCTATGCAGTTGAAGCTCTTCTATGCAATATCATTTCTTATTAATAGATTGATGGAGAATGCCCATACAGTATAGAGAATAAGCAGTGCGTTAATTAACAAAAATAAAATACCAGGCAGCAGGCTTGTCGTGAAAGCAATTCTTTCTTTGGTTATTCAGATAGGAGCAGATCACCTGATTCTGAAATAGACAATTTGGCTCCTCGATACTTAATGTATTCTTCACTGGAAAATGGTGCTTTTGGCTAAGGCGAATGGGGCAATTAAGAGACATGATTGTCTGTGAAGGTTCTCATTCATCCAGGTCATGGTATATCTGTAAAAAACCATTCAAGGCAACTGGACTTGCTGTATTTTTCTTGAAGACGTTTCACTGGACATCCGACCAGCTTTCTCAATTCAGAATGACTTGTACAAAAATTATCTGAGAATAAATATGGTGAATGTCACACCAATCCACATTTATGGGCATTTTTAAAATGATCTGGGAATAAATATGGTGAATGTCGCTCTAATCCACATAAATGTGGATTGAAACAACATTCACCATATTTATTCCAAGATAATTTTTTGTACAAGTCATTCTGAATTGAGAAAGCTGGTCGGGTGTCCAGTGAAACGTCTTCAAGAAAAATACAGCAAGTCCAGTTGCCTTGACTGATTTTTTTACAGATAAGAGACATCATTATTTTACAATACCTGTAAACATGGCATGTATAGTGAAATTAATTCCATTACCAGTAATTCTGTGGCCATTTTTTAACTGTCTTAAGTAAACCTTCAGCCTCACCTTTTTGGTCTCTGGGTGATGCTTTTGGGAATAACGTGATCATCTTTTGTCACTCTTTCCTTGATCTCAGACGAAGATATATCACTGTGAAAAAAGTGAAACTCCATTTTGTAAAAAAAATGCCATGGATTGTTGCAATTATGTTTAAATTTTAACAACATTAAAAAACTGAAAAAGTAAAAGGAATAATATAGGACACTAACAGGGCTATTCACGAAAGAGTGAAGAGTTTGGAGAAGGCAGGAGAAGTGACCAATCTAGGACAGCATAGCTGAACTGGAAAGTGAGCTGAATTGGAGAATTTCTCTAGTTCAGCTATTTTGGCCTAGATTGTTTACTTCTTCTGCCTTCTCCAAACTCTGCACCCTTTTTATAGGCCCTGTAAATAATGCATTGTTTCTGCTGTGTATTTATAGTTGGTTTTATGAAACTATGACAGACTGCCGTTCTCATGTTCTGCAAATGGAATGGGAGGACCCAGGGCCGGCCTTAGGGGTGTGCGAGCAGTGCGGCCGCACAGGGCGCCTAAAGGCCTAAGGCCGGCCCTGGGAGGACCTGCCTCAATTGAAGACCTTACAAAGTCATGACAGCAAAAAATCTGGTTCATGTGTCATTAGTGCCAATTCTGGCTTCCAATGGAGAAGAAGAAAACATCGGGGAGCTGATTACTGGTGATGCAAGCATGTAAAAAGACACAGTAGGCCAGGAAAACTTTTAAAGAAGTTTATTTTTTCATCATTTTGAGCCTTTTTTTTTTTTTATAAATGGAGGGGTGTTATAGAAATATATGCAGAGGTTGTTGGGCCTTTCAAGAATACAATGTATGCAAAATAATACAAGGCAACACTGATGGTATACAACACCTTCCCAGTGAACCCTTAAAAAAAAAAAAAAAAGACTGTAAATACTCACCTTTTCTTCTGCCTGCGCCACTGAACGCTGCTCCAATCCTGAAAAATCATCACTCAAAATCAGCTGGCACTTCTGGTTGTATTAATTTCCTTGTTCCCCTTTCACTGGCTCCTCCTGTTGACCTCCATAGCACCATTGTATCCTGTAGATATGTGGAGGTCAGCTGGAGGAACCAGTGAGAGCTGCAGTAGAATAAAAGGTATATTCTAGTGCTCGAAAAGCTTACTTTCTCAAGTCCTTGGAAGTCAAGGACTTTGACATTTGACATAAATTATAGGTTGATTACGTAAAATATTTTTTCCAACATCAATGGATAAATAAATCTTGATGATTTATAGAATGGTATCAAAGATGGAAAATGTAAGTAATACTTGGGAAGCTGCAGTTTGCAAAGATTCATTAGTACTTATAAATTCATAGGAGAAAAGTACAAAGAAAACCAGGAAGGCAAAGGACAGTAAATTACACAGGGTTATTATTATACCGGAGTAGACCGCTATAAAATAAGCATTGTTTTAAGAATATATGCCTATGATATGAGAATATACAGCAGCAAACAAAAGACTCACCCTATTAAACACAAATCACCCAGCCAAAGTAGAATAAGATATACCAAAACAAAAGTAAAGTTGTGGCACAGCGTGCTAGAAAGCTATACTGAAAAGAGGTAAGTCACCCCTTCAAAACATATGAAACCGGAAAGCAAAACTCGAGTTGAGAGAGAGAGGGGCGTCTGATGAGGATTTTTATATGCTTTTAAAGCAGACCTAGTAGTAAAATGCAAGCTCCACTTGGGCTCCCTCCCCTCTAATACAAAGCAATTACTATTGTTAGGTGTAAAGCGTACATTTAGAGAAAAAAGTTAGTTTACACTTACTTCAGCCCCATGTTCTTCCTGCAACACCAAGGCTAGATTCTAGGCAATACACAACAGCCAAAATCTCATGAGAGGACACTCTTGCAATGGACTGGAGTGTCATGTTGTGAGTTTTTTTTGCTCTGCATTTCCCAGGAATCTTCCTGAAGGACAGAAACATCATGCCCAGCGAAGCAAAAGACAAGGGTAAGGTAACTATCCACGTAACAATTTTTTTATAGGTACATTTTACACCTACTAACAGTAGATGGTTTGTAAAGGTGTGGGGGGGGAATGGATTTAGAGTGGATCTTGCATTGTACTGCAAGGTCTGCTTTAAACTTGTGTATAGTGTGAGTACAAAAATGTGCAATTAATTTTACATTGCGTTGCAATCCTGTGTGTACTGTTTGCCTGGTGAACCAGGGGAGGAGGACGTTTTGGGCTGCTGGGAATCCTGGGTGTTGTCATTGAACAAATCTCAGATAGTGTGTTACTAAACAGTAGCTAAGGATGCACACGAGTGAACTGGTCAAATAAGGCCAGTTTGTTTCTTCGCTTTGCCGAAATGTGAATGGGCTGGGGTTCATGACAACATTCACAAGCTCATCCCTATTAAGTACATTTATTATTATTATTAATTTTGGCATATTAGTTGTAGGACGTAGTAACTGCAGCTGTGTTTTTTATGCTTGTTTTAGCATGGTTGTCAATAATTGAGTTTAGATTAAAATGTGTTCAAAATCACACACAAGAACATGCACATGTAACAAAATTATTACCAAAATTAATTATACAAATAACAGTCTTAACAAACATGATCAGTAAACATTTTAGAAAGAACAAGATAATACGTGTTGCAGGCATGGCTCAATCACAGTAAAAATATATTCATCTAAGAGGAGAACTTTCTTATAGAACTCTGCAAGGGTTAAGTGTTTTTTTTGGCCTAGGGGCTAAAATAAAGCAGAATTACTTATCCATCCTGGCTTACCCCAAGCTCATAGAATGGTCCCTACAGTGGCGGACCTAATGAACAAAGGGCCCTGGTGCAAGATTGTATCTTGGGCCCCCCTCCCAAGGGGAGGAGGGGCACAGGAGCAGATCACACTGGCCCCCCAACCCCCCTGGCAGTCTCTAATGTCGCAGTAACGCACTGGACTCTGGGCTTAGCAACGCACTGGACTCTGGGCTTAGCAACGCACTGGACTCTGGGCTTCGTACTGCACTGGACTCTGGGCTTCGTACTGCACTGGACTCTGGGCTTACCTGAGACCCTGCAGAGCTCACCTGAGAGTTACCCTGCAAAGCACACCATAGATCCTGCACAGCCCATCTGAGACTCTCTATGGTGGGCTCTGCAGGGTCTCATGTGGGCTGGTTGCCAGGGTGGCTTTCCCTGTACCTCCTCCCAACTCTTCTTACCTGCTGCTGCTGGGGCCCGGCCTCCTCCACCCCCTCACCTGTCACCTCTGCCATACCACCCCTGGTACAGCTGATACCCATGTAAAGGGACACCCAGGCTGCCCAGACCCCTCACATGGGTACCTGCTGTACCCCCCTGATGGCGGTGTTCTATCAAAGTTTGTGAGTACGTTACAATGTATGACCGGCAGGGGCATCCAGAGGCTGGGTGACACCCGGAGCGGTAACCGAGTGTCCCCCTGCCGAGATGTCATTGCGCATGCGCATGACGTCACCATGCTGTGCACGATGACATCATCGCGCACGCGCGGCAGTATTCTGATACCTGCCGGCGGCCATCTTGGTGATGGACGCCGGCAGCGAGAGGAGGGGACAGTCACCTGGTGGGATAAGGTATGCCGCCGGGTCCCCTCCTCTCTCCTGATACTGTCGGGCGTTCAGTCCATGACCGAGCACCCGACTTTTCAGAGGGGGGTGACACCAAAATGACTGTGAGTCATTTTGGTGTCACACCTCCAATGGTGTCACTCGGGTGTGCGGGCCGCAACCCCCTTGTGACGCCACTGGTGACTGATGACGTGGTTACACATTTTAACGTAATCCCGCCCAGTTTTTCGGCGGTGGACTGTGTGACCGCCAATAGGTGAAGCATTCCAACGCTTTGTCAGCTGTTCCAGGGCAAATCGGCACCGCAAATTGTATGTGCAGGAGAACCAATCTGCTCTGGAACAGTTGATTGGTCCTCAAATGTCACTTCTTTCCGATTTTTTTGAGTGTGATCTCACATTCCACTGCACTCATAAAGTCAGATAGAAGTGACATTTCAGGACCAATCAGCTGTTCCGGGGCAGATCGGTCCTCTTGCACAAACAATTTGTGATGCCGATCTGCATAATTATTAATCTGTGACTGCAAATCTGCCCAAGAAAGGTTGTCAATATAGGTAAACCATGTCCTTCAACTTCTACAATAAAATATGTGGTTTGGGCCATAAAAAACAAAAACGTATAACATCAAGCATGCATTTATCATTCACTATTTAAATAGCTTTCCTTCTCAGAAATCTACAGATGTACTAAATCCTAAACATTTCTTACTCAGCTTGAATGGCTCCTCTTTTTAAAATGGCAATTAGAAAATGTGCAAGGGTGAGCCAACTGCCTCAGGATAGCTTTTACTAAAGTTTTAGCTTTAAATAATCAGCTCACACAACCATTCCTGTGTACAATCCTGCCCCTGACGTATCTTGTGGGAAAAGTAGGGCAGGACTTTCTAACTTGTCTGATCATCTGTAACTGTCAGAATATGTCCATTTTCTCACAACTATAGAAGGGATGAGCGGATTGAATTTGGCTAACTTGATTGTGCAGCATATAAGTGATTTCACATTTGCCAACAATGTATTGAAATTGAGCACAAAAAACCCTCCTTTTAAAGAGACCCTGTGACTATTCTCAAACTAATGGCATGCCAGGAAAGAAAAGGGTAATACCCCTCCTGCAACCAATGTAGCTGATAGCTTTAGGAGCTATGCTGGCTGCAAAAACGTCTGTTTTTGTTACTTCCAGAAGTGTCGGATGTCTGGTCCCCCTCTTTCCACTGGAGTTCCTTCCTCCAGGACCTTTCAGCTGCTCCAGATTTTGTCTGCTCCAGTTTTGATAAATTCCCCTCAAGGTGCTTTTTATTTCTCCCAGTTCTTGAGCCACTGCCTATTAGAATTTGTGTGATAAATAGAAAATGTATTATCACTTGTAATTTGCTGCGGTTTCTTGCTGTATTGTGATCTTACAGTACATACCTTTTTAACTTGTACTTGGATTGACTTTCTTCTTCATCCAATTCCTTACTCACACTCGCACCAATCATTTTCAGCAAGGTCTGCATATCTGATAGAATTAAACATTGACATTATAGAGGTAGTTGATGGAACTCTTTTAAATAAACATAAAACAACAGGAAAATATGATTTTTTTTTTTTAGCATTTACACATGAAACAGCAGCTTTGTATCTGGCCTTTCACGTACAATATAAAAACCAGTAATTTATAAAACTGATACATTATGAACAAACAGATTTACTCCCTCCATTGCCATGTGTCTTTCTTATTTATATATAGACAATGCAGGCTTATTAAAATACAGAAATCCCAGTAACCCAACTTTATTTATTACCGGTATTTATATAGTGCTGACAATCTTTACATTTACAACAGTCCCTGCTTTCAAGAAGCTTACAATTTAAGGTCCCTATTTCACATGCAAAATGCCCCACCTCTTTTAAACCAGTCCTCCTCCCTGCCTAGGATGCGTACTTGACTGTCTTCAAAGGAGTGACCGTTTTCCTTTAGAAGTAGGTTTACTGTTGAATCCTGACCAGAGGGTTTGGCTCTTCTACGCGGTGCCATACGCTGGTCTTTCTGGGCCATCAAGAAGCCGGAGGTCGGGTAATGACTCAGTGCCCGACTTCCTGATTGGCCAGCTTCCCGACAAATCAGGAAGTCGGGCGGCGAGTCGGCTAACCACTAAGCCACTGTGCTGCAACATCAACATATTCTATCAGGTCTTTTATAAACTGAAATAAACATTGTAACATTTTCTGATATATATTGTGGCATTGCGTGGCAATACCACGGTATAATGTGGCATCAAAGTCACCCAGAACTCCCAGCAAGAGGGGCTGAGCGGTTCTAGGAAAGTACTTTTACCAGGAAAGAGCTGGCTTTACAATACTTTCCAGGTTTTCTGGATTATAGTTGGGATCCTGGAGTCGGGGGATTTCTAAGTGAACTGGGAGGGAAGAAATCTCCATTCCCGAGTCTGGGCTTCAGTGGTGACCAGCACCGATGATGGTGCACCTGTGCACAGCCCTTATGCAAAGGACCCTGTTTCAGGGTTCTAGCTGGCAGACAAGGGAGGTGTCTGTCCAGGAGTCAGGAGGACTCCATCCTGTGGCACGTCAGCTGGATACAGCCCGTGTGGAAGGGGTTTATAGTGATAACCTGAAGTCGGTGAGACTTGCAAAAACATTATTTTGCTGTACTTTATGTTTGAAGACCCCTGCGAGGGAAACACCTGTGTGGACTTTTATGTTTACCCCAAATTAAATATGCTAAGGTTGCCTGGTGTAGACTCCTAAAGCATCCAAAATCAGGATAACTAGTTGGACAAACCATTAACCATTAACAAACCATTAACAATTTCTCCACACGGAAGTGGGGCCATGTATCTAAAGTACAATAAAGCCTTTCACTGTGCTGAAAGATGGATTGCAGCTTCGATCTTTGCATTGTTTAGTGGTGGAAAGTGGGTGTTGCATCATGCTCCTTGGTAGCCTACAATAGCACCTGACAGACATAGAAAAGCACAGGCTGAGAGGTACTGCGTGCTGCAGGTACACATGTTGTGGTCGGACTCTGCCAGACATAATACATTTTCTGCGCATGCTTAGGAGTTTTTTCACAAAGGTCTCATAAGAGTCTCTATCAATTTCTTTTTATCTATAAAAGGCAATATTACTTTTGAAGTTGAATCGCAGAAATAGAAAAACACTAATTACTTCAACTATGTATTAAATTAAAAGCTTTTCATTTTTTTTTCAGTCCAACATGTTGACAGTGAGTACGACGGTCTAGATTATCAGTTTAAAAGAACATGACTCAGTTTTTTTTCTTTAGGGCACATTTAAACCAAAATTACACAAAAACCCTTGCATCCTGCTTTCAGACTGAAAGCTGAATGTTCAAAGTAAAAGGTTCACCAAGGGCAAATCTTAGAGACTGATAAACTGAGAAGTTTATCATTCAGACAGAGGTTCTTCCTCTTCATCTTTGCTCACTTTGCCCGTAGTGTGAACAGAACTATTAACAGTAGATTCTATATCCTCCCCACCATCTTGAGGACCATCTGAGGATGCTGGCATCTCCTCTGAGCTTGGTAAAAGGGAGGAGACGCTGCCCATGGTTGGTGTGACAGCTGATGAAAGCCCACTAAAGCGAGAGATGCTGAGGAATGATAATTTTCGTGCTCGTTGTAAGTGACCGCGGATAAATCTCTGACCTTGCCTTTTACCCTAGGAATTGAAAAATATGGGACATATTACAGAAACCAGAACAACCTCTGTCCCAAACAATATAATTTTGGATACTGGGTGATGTAGGTAGCCTGCTGGTAAAATTACAGTTGCAGTCTAGATACCAATTTCCAGCATTGTGAAGCTCCTTAACCAATGTTCTCTGCCCATATTTTTGCTGCTAGTCAGAATTTGGTTTTGTCCAAGACAGGGAAATCAGCAAAAAGAGATGATGATGATAATGTTTACTATTCAATGGTGCTTGATATTCACCTCAAGGGAAAGGTAAGTAAGGAATACAAATAGGTAACTATGGATAGAGTGCATGTATTTATTTCAAGCTGAACTCCAGGCAGATATAAAATGCACACAGTAATGCAGCTCTGCATTCATCAATACATCACTGAATGTATGCAAGCAGTGCAAATACATAAATTTGACTAGGTATCAACATCTTTCAGTCTCCTGCTTTTCCTTGCACTGTCCAGTCACATTCTGGGGTAGGAACAAGACCTGTAAGTGTTACTTAACTTCAGCAGAGAAAATTCAGGTATCATGACCTGTCGGACAGGGCTGTGATGTGTGGCAGAGTTGTGTAAATCTCAAAATGGAATGGACAGAAGTACAAATACTCTGGAGGGTCAAACTTATATGTATTTCATCTAAATAATAGGCTGCTTGCCTGAAGTTCAACTTTAAGTAAAATTTAAGGGAGCACTGCTTCTAAGAAAAATGAAAAGTTTCATAAAGTTGGACCTGTAATTGGACATGAGGCCTGTCTCAGCCTACAGCATGCTTCTGTGGATTAAGACCTCTTCTAGCATTGTTCACAATCTTCCCTGAACCAACAATGAATTGTCATCCATTTTGCCTACCCTGATTATTAAAATGTTTTCAGATTTTGTACAGAGATCTGCAAAAATCAGTGAGAGTTTTGCTACAGCTCAGATAAAAAAGAAACACCAAATTGCTCATAATAGGACATTGTTCAGGTTCACAAGCAACTAATATTCTAACTGAAGTTCTCTTATAATCTGATTTAACCTTTTTAATGTGTAAACAAAACATGTGAAATTAAGTAATTCTGTCTATTTAAACTGGAAATCATGCTCTGAAATCTATGACTGCCCTCTGGCGTACAAAGTGGAATGTGCAGACTTGTACGCTGCACCTTGACAGACTTCAGTGACTGCTGTAGCTTTTCAAAAAGCAATGGTAAAGTAATCCAGAGTACAGCAACAAACTGACATTCAATGCCTGAGTTCTATGGAATGATAGCACTAACAAGATGCCTGTATTTGCCCTTGCATCTAGTCATCACCAGAGAAGAGCAAACTCCTTAATAACAGCTTAGCTGGAGTCACCCCACAATCCAGCATCTAGCACCATCTAGCATTCCTGCCACTGAAGACAATTAATCAAATGGACATAGAAAGCTGCAGCAAATATAATTTTAATCATTATTTTAAGGATATTGCAGAGCAGTTTATGGATCTGTTAAACTTATAAAGGATCATCAATAAAATGAATTATGTATTTAGGAACAAACAGAATTGTATAGGGGACATTTATTAATTCTGTCGCACAGCAAGGCAATGTTGAACAGGAGCAATGAGACAAATTGTAAGGTAGATTTACTACATGGTTGCATCGATAACTTCCTCCCTTAGCTCCGCTTAAGTAGCATAGTGACCAAATAAAACCTGTCCTACTTCTTAATGATAAGTCTGTTTAGAGTGAAAATCTGTCTCGTATGCTTTGATAAATCTGTGGGAGATCTGAGCAAATCTGTTGTAGTTGGCTACCCAAGATTAGAAGTGCAGGGGTTGCGTATATACTGTACAACCATGGCATAGACTTTGCTAAGTGAAAGGCAGCTTGATTTGCGGATAATAGTGTCACTAGTTTCTTGGTAAATGTCCTGCTATGTTCTCACTAACGGCAGCTTCTTAGTCACTGATTCCGAGGAAGTCAGTAAAACTGAGAGTAAAAATTACACTTCCCTCCTGACACTTTACTTCCCATCATCTGCCTTCAAGTTTCTGTCCCTTTTGACACCACCGTCAGCCTGTACCTCAGTCTCCAAAGGTATTAGAGGTTTTAATGAAGCCAATCACTGGGAAAATTAATATTGAGACACTGGCCACAGTCATAAAAATGTCTTGCAATATGATTTAAAAATTAAAGAATTGGAAATACAGAGATATGCAAAATTTATACACGACAAACAGCTCTACATTTCCCCAAAAGTCCTTGCAGCGTTCATTTGCGTTGCATTGTCCTTTAAATCCACTGGGACATGTATATCACTATAACATAAAATAATAGATTCCACTTAATACAAACATTCCCGAAGCTTTACAGTTTTTGCAAGTGTAATATATAAATATGGTTGATGAGCCAAACTCTGTCCATATATTTCCCTCACTAAAAGATTAACTAGGTGAAATATTTAGCTCTCCATTTTAAGACTTGAAATTTATTTATACCTGTAAAACATGTCAAAATATTTCTGGCAGTTATAGGAAGTAAAAAAAAATATATTTTACCTTCCCCGGTGTTATAAACTGCTCCCACTTCATTTCTACTTCTTTTTCTCTATTGATTCTTTTCAATGAAGTTTTACAGCCACCAGGATCTCTGGTTTAAAGAAATACAGTGTGGTTAAAGTAACATCTTCCAGTGTACATGGCATTTACTATATATACAGTACAACATACAGTATATATTGCAGTATGTAAATTAATGATCTGTTTCTCTTGCACACACCCTATCTTAAACTGGCCACACACATTAAAATCTAATAATGCAATTTACTACAATTAGACAGAATGGTACAAAAACTAAAATGCCTCAATCTGAATGTAATAATGCTGATTATAAAGCCTACTTATTTATATAAAAGACTGTATTGTCGGACTGCAAGAGACTGCCATTGACCTCACCAGTGATTGGGTGGGTTGAAATGTAGTAACCAACATTCTGTCCAACAATGTTTATAAAGTTGATGAACAGTTGACAAAATTAATAAGATAATTCAACCTGCATTGAAAGGTGAGTATACTTGCTGAGTGAAGGAGTGAGCTGGGTTTCTGAGCAATCAGATTTTTCTGTGTATGGCCAGCAATTAAAACCAGTCTGAAGGCCCAAACACTGTCAACATCTTGAAAAAGTTATTGTGACAAATAGCGCTGCATGGTCATTTTTTCTTCTCGGTTAAAAGATACGGAAACATTTTCATAGAATAATTAATTGAATGCCCCAGGGTCTGTACCTTATATTCCAGCAGGTGGATATAGGTCGCATGAGACCAGACTGCTCTGATAAAGATTCTAAGAGCCAATGGAGGGCACAGAGCTGACGGAAGAGAGATTCCCTGGAAAGGAAGCAGTGACATATTCTATATTATACACAACGAATACATGTTTTTAAACACTATAATATGATACATGCTACACTGCTGGCAATTTGCTTTTAACAGATAAAGTGTCAATTTATATATTACATTGCAAATAGAAACTAAACTCAGTGGTGTTTTATAATAAAAGTGACATTAAAGGCAGAAACTTTTTTCCCTCTACACAATGTTAATTAAAGCACTTACCTTAAATGATGTCTCTTAATTCGATCTTCTTCTTCTTCTTCTTTCCTGTCGTTTTTCAGCCTTCTCTCCAGCGCTGCTGCGGCTCTCCGATCCAGTGCTGACTCCTCTGTCCTTGCTGGCACTTCCTGTCCCACGGTGTCTGCATGCGGGTGCACACCTTGTGTCTTTCCTCGTCTCTCGGCCGAAAATCCGAACTGCGCATGCGCCCGCCCCAAGATGCTTTGCGGCCGCCCAAACATTTTAAGCTTTTTGGACGGGAGCGTGCGGCAAAGACACAGCTAAGTTTAAAAAACTTTTTGCATATATCTACTGCTTGCTAGCAGTATCATGTATTAATACTAGTATAAACTGATAAGAAATCATAGAATCCCATCTAAACCTAACTTGCCTACAGCATCCAGCTGCCTTAGATTAGCAAATGGCAGCAGATGACTCTAAAGGTGGCCATACACTTTACAACCAAGACCTTAGTCTTGTGGTGGTTGTAAAGTAAAAAAAAAAACGTACGATCTGCCCATCTTGGACAGGCAAATCGTATTTGCAATCATCGCAAGCCCGCCCCGCTGAGGACAAGATGTGCGACCGTACAGTAAAAACGGTTGCACGCCTGCCATACACTTTGCGATTATCGTACGATCGCGGGATTTCCCGCGATTATCATGCGATAATCGCACAGTATATGGGCATATTGATGGCAACAGTGCGCGTTGATTCACTTGTGTGAAATATGTTGGAAGACGTACATGCTAAGTTTTCAACTTACCATGCTGCTGCAGTAAGATAACAGAGGTAGGTAAATTCTATACAAGCTAAATACATTTCCCCTCTGTCCAACATACAAAAAAGAAGTTCTCGTTTAAATAGAAAATAAGGATATTATTTTATGAGGAGTTTGAGAAATACAGAAATATAACCCATCAATAATTGTGTATCGAAGTATCAACAACTCAAGACCGAGAACCAGTACTCTTACTAAGTCAACATTGACATCATGCTGACTGACAACACAACTTACAAGGCATTGCCATCCCACCAGTGTTGCCTTTTGGAGCATGGGTCCCTGACCTTGGTGAAAAGATGTCACAGAGTCAATGAACCATTAGGTTAGCACACCTTATATTGATAACAGTGCACAGCTTTATGGGTATGTTGTCATTATGATGCATTGTACCCGCCCTCTGCTGCAGTTCCCCATCAGGTCCATCAGCAGAGGGCAGGTACAATGCTAGTTTACTATTGGCTATTGCAAATTGAAATAGCCAATAGTAATGTACCAATGCTTTTCAATGGGGAAAAAAAAGACACATCAGTGCTTCTCTCCTTGGCGGCCGGGAGCGGGAGGCTCCCAGGGCGCCCGGGAGAGTTTTTTTTTACAGCAGCAGAGCCGCCGGACAATAGGAAACTATTGGGCGGAGCTAGCTGTCACTGCTAGCTCCGCACAATCGTTTGCTATTTACTTTTTTCACTCTTTTTCTGTTCTGCTCGGTACCTCAGAGGGACCGAGCAGAACAGCCGAGCCGAATGCCGCTCGGCCAGCTTCGGCTATTCACTCACTGCTGTTCGGGATCTTTAAGAATAGCCCGAACAGCAGTGAGAAGCCTGCCGGAGGTTCGGCTCAGCCGATCCAGATGTTGGATCGGCTGAGTCGAACTCCTTCTGCACTTCGGGTCAGCCGAACATGCTGAGCATGTTCGGCCGACCCGAAGCCACACGAAGCTTCCAGCCTGACCAGCCTGAAGTGAATAGCCGAACAGTGTTCGGCTCACTTCACTTCAGATCGGCCATTCACTCGGCTGCCCTCGGCAGCTTAGTGAATAGACTCCTAAGTTTCACAGTGTTTCAGAGATCCCACTAACAAAGAAATTAAAGGTCTATCATTTTTATCATAGGAGTATTTTCAACGATGGAGACAGAATATCAACCAAAAATCCAGAAAAAACACATGATACAAATGTTATAAATTGAGTTGCAGTTCAGTGAGTAAAATAAGTATTTGATCCCCAAGCAAAACCTGACTTAGTACTTGGTGGAAAAACCCTTGTTGGCAAGCACAGAGGTAAGACATTTCTTGTAGTTGGTTATCAGGTTTGCACACATCTCAGGAAAGATTTTGGCCCACTCTTCTTTACAGATCTTCTCTAAATCCTTAAAGTTTCTTGGCTATCGCTTGGCAACTCAAAGTTTTAGCTTCCTCCATAAATTTTCTATAGGATTAAGGTCTGGAGACTGGATAGGCCACTTCATGACCTTAATGTGCTTCTTCTTGAGCCACTGCTTTGTTGCCTTGGCAGTATGTTTTAGGTCATTGTCATGCTGAAAGACCCATCCACAACCCATCTTCAGTGTTCTGGCTGAGGGAAGGAGGTTCTCATCCAAGATTTTACAATACATGGCCCCATCCATTGGCCCCTCAATGTGGCAAAGTCGGCCTGTATCTTAAGCAGAGAAACAGCCCCAAAGCATAATGTTTCCAGCTCTGTGCTTGATTGTAGGGATGGTGTCCTTAGGGTCATAGTCAGCATTTTTCTTCCTCCGAACACGGCGGGTTTGAGACGACCTGTGACAGTCTCATTGTCACAGGTCGGCTAGAACTATGAGGTGAGTGAAAAGCACTCACCTCATAGTTCTCCTTTAATGCCAAAGAGCTCAATTTTGGTCGAATCTGACCGCAGCACTTTCTCCTAATCCTTCTATGAATCATTTAGCTGTTCATTGGCAAGCTTCAGACCGGAATGTATATGTGCCTTCATGAAGAGAGGGACTGTGCGGGCGCTGCAGGATCTCAATCCATGGCGGTGTATTGTGTTACCAATGGTTTGTTTGGTGACTGTGGTCCGAAATGCCTTGAGATCATTCACAAGTTCCTCCCGTGTAGTTCTGGCTTGATCCCTCACTTTTCTCATGTTCATCCTTACCCCATGAGGTGAAATCTTGCATGGAGCTCCAGACCGAGGGCGATTGATGGTTATTTTGTATTCCTTCCATTTGCGAATAATCCCTCAAACAGTTGTTTCCTTCTCACCAAGCTTCTTGCGGATAGTCTTGTAACCAATTCCAGCCTTGTGCAGGTCTACAGTCTTGTCCCTAACGTCCTTTGACAGCTCTTTGGTCTTGCCCATGGTGGTGAGGTTTGAATGGAAGAAAGATTCTGTGGACAGGTGTCTTTTATATACATAATGAGTTGTTGTTAGGAGCACCTTCTTAAATTGACAGGACTAATCTGTGTACCGCATAGCCAGTCTGTGGGAGGAGCCAGAATTATTGTTGGTTGGTAAATACTTATTTTACTCACTGAATTGCAACTCAATTTATAATGATTGTATCATGTGTTCTTTCTAGATTTTTGGTTGATATTCTGTCTGTCTCTATCATTTAAAATACACCTATGATAACAAATTATAGACCTTTCATTTCTTTGTACGTGGTCAAAACTTACAAAATCTGCAGGGGATCAAATCATTATTTTCCTCACTGTACTGTCTGGTCTCAGCAGTTTATACAGATGGTGAAATAATGAAGGGGATTTCTTTTTGGTACAAATTAGGAACTTTAGTAATAATTGAGGATCCTATGAATCCTACTGATCCTCTGTAATGTTCTTTAATAATGTCCTTTCTAGTCTAGCTGGTATCCCTGGCCGATAAAAGTAAAAATAAAATTTCAAAGCAGAAGCTTTGCACAGAATGCTTGTATTATTCTGTAGCTTGTGAACGACTTACCTAATAAAAGACCTCGAACAATTCAGAATTGTAGAAATGTGATAAAATGTTTCAGCAGTAACAATCACTTTTAAGAGGATTAGAAGCTGAATGACATGATAGAAGTATGATGAATCATTGTTCATTAGGTCTGAAAATCTAATTTAAAATCTCATCACAGCTAGGACCGTGCCAGCGCTGTATGAAACACATAATGCTGAATATGACAGATCCATTTCTAATTACAGGGATGTGTGTGCATCTCCCAAGATTACCTGATAAGGGTAGTTAGAGAATTCAGCAGGTTGAAGGGAGTTCATGAACCTGCTATGTGAATAATTCAAGATAGACAGATTGGGTTGTTGGAGATAATATTCCCCAAGTGAGCTGCTAGTTTAAAATGTGTATTCTCAAAACGACATAAAGACTGTGGGGGGAATTTATCAAAGCAATTGAGACAGTTTTAGCCTCTTAGATCATTTTTTTAATGCGCAAATCTGTCTTTTAACATGTGCCCCTGTTTTCACCTGAGCTTGCACTACTTTTCCACCTGCACGTGTTTTGCCCCTGTTTTCACCTGAGCTTGCACTACTTTTCCACCTGCACGTGTTTTGCACCTGTTTTCACCTGAGCTTGCACTACTTTTCCACCTGCACGTGTTTTGCCCCTGTTTTCACCTGAGCTTGCACTACTTTTCCACCTGCAAGTGTTTTGCCCCTGTTTTCACCTGAGCTTGCACTACTTTTCCACCTGCACATGTTTTTCCCGTTTCCACCGGAGCTTGCACTACTTTTCCACCTGCACGTGTTTTGCCCCTGTTTTGACCAGAGCTTGCACTACTTTTTCACCTGCACGTGTTTTGCACCTGTTTTCATCCGCACTTTTTCTGGGGCTGTGTGAAACTGGAGCATCACCTAAGAAAACAATCACAACTTAAAAAGTCCCCATGACCACTTCTGCAAGAAGCAACAGTTAAGCTTTTTGACTGGAGTTACAAGTCTTCTTTCCTGGAGTCTATTAAACCTCATTTATGAACAACATTATACTAGCATCATAAATCTGGTGCAAATATAT